GTACTTGCTAGGAGACAAGCAATGTCTGGTGGTCAGGCCAGGTCTCAAATGAAGCAGTCACTATCAATGTCAGGGAAAGTCCTGCTGCTAAACTTTTAAGCCCTCATGCTCAGACCAGCCCTGCCCTCAATGCTATACACTGGCACTGTGCAAACAGGAGGCTGTGGCTTCACACAACACCACAGGCAACAGGGACCTCAGACAATGAGGAGGAAAGCATGGGAGATCCACAGGACCAGACCCAGGCAGGACTGGACTTCATGGACTCCCACGCTGCCTTTGAACAGCTCACATCACAGAGCACAGTCCATAACTAGAAATACAGGGAAGGTGTCGTTTCTCTTCCAGAGCGCTCATTACTACAATCCCCCTCCAAGATCCAGACAGCAATGTCATCTGTAGTCTCATTCAGCATCTCTGGCCACGTTACTAACGTTGGGGTTTTAAGAAGATATGAGCAGAGACCATTGGAAAGCAATTTTTTACTGCATTTCACCTTCACTGCTGAGAGGGACAAGGGCCACTGCTGCTGGCTAAGACAGCTGTGCCCCAGGGATATGGGAGGAGAGGGGGTGGCTGTGGGCTCCAAGGATATGCAGCCTTGGTTTCAAGAGTGCTTACTGGGCCTGGGGAGAGAATGCTCACATATGGCCAACTTCCGGTGGAGGGAGGTGAATCCTATTCTGTCACCGTTTCATCACCCTTGGCTTGCAACATGGAGTTGAATAGGCATGCTGGTGGCCAGCAGACTGCCTCCTTACAAGAGGAAAGGATGAGGCAAGAGGATGAACAGATAAGGAGTGGTAAATGGCTAAGACAGTATCTATAATAGAAGAGAGGCCGCACCTCTGCGAACACTCGGCGCGCGTGTGTCAACCTGCCCTTGGAGACAGTCGCTCACACCTCTTCTCTAGTCCTGCCAAGTGCAATGGTGAACTGTGCTTGTCAGCACTCACCATGTATGTGCAAGACCTTACACTGGGTAACACGGGTGTTGTGTGCATGCATGTCTGGATAGATATACAGATCTACAGTTCATACCAATACTATAGATGGACATACATACAGAAAGACACAGAGATACATGCATATGCATGCATGCACAGTATAGTGTACAGTCTATTGGTAAACCTGCAATATGCTGTGGGGAGTGTGGTTATCCCCCACTTCAGACCCAAGAAAGTGTGTCTCAAAGTGTGCTCTACAAGACGGCCTGTCTGTGGATGGTCTCCCTGGCCCCAAACTCAGTGACAGGGAAAAGAAAAGGAAAATAATGCAAAAGTAAAAGCATTATGTTCTTTAGAAACAATTAGAAGGTGAACCACAAACTGAGGATGTTGCTCAGAGCAAGAGTGCTTGCCTAGCATGCACAGAGACCCAGGTCTGATTTCCAGCAACACAGGAAAAAACAAAAACAGAAGGTGAACCATTTCCAACAGGGGTTACCATCCTTCATCCCATGATACCAAGTTGCCTGTACTGGGAACGGGAAGCTCGAAGTTCATCCTGAGAGATGATCAGAAACTCCAGCTGGCTGCCTCCCTGACTTGATGATGTTTTGCTATCTGCTATTCTGTCCATCTGCTAGTATCTATTCTTTTATTTTGATTTGATATATACTAATAAATTCACTCATTTAAAACCAAAAACACAACTGTCCTAGACCATTCTCCAGATTATATAGAAAGCACACACACACACACGCACACACACACACACACACTATAGACACACTGGTTATTTCCCTAACTCCCTCCATATAGCCCTGTGTTGGCTGTGGACCTGCTCCACACAACGTTAAGCAAACTGCCTAGGGCTCTAGCATCATAACCCCTTTTCTGGAGCCCTTCTGGTTTGCCAATGCCCCTCCTAGATATGGATACAGAAGTAACTACTCTATCCAGAAAGGGTCTGGAGGCCTGGGAACCAGCAGAGCCTCCGTACCCTCCTGAGGTTGTGATGGATAAGCCCTGATATAACACTGACTTCTACCAGAGAGCATAGGCCCATGGCACATGCTCCTGTTAAATCCAGGGGCAATGAACACGTGTCCCAGAGTCTCAGCCTCAGGGCTCTTTACCTTCTCTTCTCATCTGGTTCTCAGATCTCACCCTGACTGGTTCCTTTTCTACTAGCAGGTTAGGTGGCACTGGCTCCCGCCAGCTGTGGAAAGGCCAAAGGGAAGCCCCACAAGCTCACACACCCTCAGGGTCTGCTCTGGGCCCCAGTGGGCCCCTCAAGGGGGTTGGTTTATTAGAACACCAGCTGCTCCAAAGGTCTAACCAAAAAGGCACTTTGTACCTTTATCTAAAGCGTTCAGACACCTGGACCCAGAAGCCACGTGCAAAGACGTTCCTTCACAAGAACACACAAGTGGAGTGAATAGACAAACTGAGATCAAAGACCCATGAAAACAGTTTGGGAGGCAGCTCAAGGAAGAAAGGGTGACACCAACCCCGGGGCCAAGCCTATCTATCCTACAGATGTGGGAAAGCACCTACAAGTTCTTCCTCCATAGACATGCAGTCCTTGGACTCTTCTCAGCTGTAAACGTCCAGGGAAGCCACAGCACGCAGAGGCTGCTATCCCACCTCAAGCATCCGCTGGCAATGTGTAGGTCTCTGTATACCAATGACAGGCCTGCCTGGTGGGAACCCAGGCCCAGGGCCCTACAATGTCCTGGCTGAATCCAGGACCATTCTAAAAAATGTGTATGTTTTTTTTTTTTTTCCTGGATGTATGTATATGTACCACATGCATACCGGTGCCCCTGGAGACCAGAAGAGGACATCAGATCCCTTGGAACTGGATTTATGGGCAGTTTTGAGCCACCATGTGGGTATAAGAGCCAAACCTGTGTCCTCTGCAGGAACAGCAAATGCACTTAACCCCTGAGCCATCTCTCCAGGCCCCTAATCCAGGACTCTTTACAAACACATACGGACTGTTTTAGGCCTGGTTATCAGGCCCCTTGGCAAGTAAGGGCTACCTCCTGACCATATATTACTGCATGGGAGCCAAAGCAGGCAGAAGCACAGAGCCCTATGGGAAGACAGCTGGCCAGAGAGAGGTGCTTGGTGGGACTCCATCCTCGGGGCCTGACCTCTGGCGATAGGGTGCACATTCTTCCCAAGGGACTCTCTCCTTTGCCTGTGCCTTGTCCCACCCAGTACTCATGGCCAAGCAGCCTGCCAAGGCAGACAGGCTGAAGCAGGGTGGCCTTCTCAGTGCACCTTCCTGGATCTTGGAGGCCTGCCTGGAATTGATGAGGCACTATACATTTGGGCACAACCCCCACTGAGCAATATATTTTTAAACAGTTTCTACACATGTGAGGCCAGAAAATGTCTTCAGTGATGCAGCGGTGTTATTCCAGCTTGTGGCTAATGAAATCTAATAACACTACGTGTAAGCTGTTTTTATTACCTCTCTAGCTTATTCACCAATTAAACAGGCTTAGCATTACCAAGTTAACTAAGGCTGTGTGTCGTACCTAGAACCTAGGGCTCTGTGTTTCCTTGAGAAGACAGTCAATGCTGTCCTCCTAAAACCTAGTTCAGACTATCTGGAGATGGAAACTTCCTCTCCGTATCCAACACACATGTTCAGTTGCTGTCCAGTGAGTAAGTCAGAAAGATCTACCAGGAGGAAGGGCCTCTGTTGGAACCAAGATGGACATCATGGAAGCTCAGTCCCAAGTCAACCCATGGGCACAGGGGTGGCACAAGCACATCACCACCTTGTCCCCAGTTGTCCTGGGTGGGCCTGGGCTCATCTGTAAAGGTGGCTCAAAATTGTGGCCTCCGAGGCCACCTCAGCTAGATACCTGTACCTTGTCTTCAGTGGGGGGCTGATAGGCTTAGAGCATGAAGAGAACAGAAGGTAACTCCATGAGTAGGAACCACGTCTTTGTTGTAAGTAGGCAGCTCCATGGGGGAAGGGTAGTGTGGGGAACCTAAGACTGCTCGTTGGTTATACCCATCTGATGCAGAACAGACACCAGGAGCCTGCCCTGTCCGTCCTGGCTCTGCCCATGGTCTGAAGAACGTGGCCAACCCCGCTGAGACCCCTCCCTCACTGGCAAATAGATCTTCATTTCCTCAAACCAAGTAATAACCAATGTTTTTATATAGAACACCAAAAACTGATACACTATAGCACCGAGCAAGAAGTCTCCCAGATGGGCATGGAGCCAACAGTACCATGATTTGCCCACCACAGCCATCCATCCTAAAGTTAATGGTCACAAGGACCAACGTCACACCATCTTGATCACATCCTAAGACCTCTATAGCAAGAACCAAATGCAGTCAGCCCTCAGGCTCTGACCCTGTCCTGACTTTGGTGTCTAACTCCAAGACCGTCTCATCAGATCAATACCTAAGAGAGGTGTTGGCACGTTGCCGGACTCCAAGGGAAAGAAGACCGAGACAGAGGAACAGAGCGCATGGGAGAGGCTCCTCCTCCAACCATTGCTACGGACAGCTGCAGAGGTGGCCCAGAGGATACTGATAACAATTTCTTGGTAGTCTAAATGTTCGACAGTTTAATCAAAGGGGCTGATCCCTTCCCACCTTTTCTAAAGTCATTACTCATGGCCCTGATCTAGGGATCAGCATAATCCGGGTGACACTGAACACTGGTGTGTGGGTTCCAGGAGAGGAGGTACCAGCAGAGGGCTAGAAGAGGATTAATTAGTGTGTGGTCACACTGGACTCCTAGCCAATGCCTGCCTCTCACCATCTGTCTGCTCCTGTTCCATTAGCAATGAGCTTAACAGGGGAAGAACATGCCTCATTTTAAATGGAGAGAACCAGATACTTAGAAAAAAGGACTTGAAAAAAAAATTTTTTTTATAGTACTTTCAAAACAAGAAAACTGACTCCTAAACATTTCTGAAAGTATCACTGTGCACTTAACTGGCTAGACCAGGACCAGAAGTCCCAGAGAACAGTGAGATGTGTCTTCTAGAGACTCTTCCAGGCCATTGGGGCACTTACCTGTGCCATCTTGGCAAGGTCTAGAGAAGGCCTTTGCTCCTGCCCTTCGTCAGGACGCCGCCGTTTCACGCCAATCTTCTTGTCATTAAGGACACACGGCTGGGAGCGGCTGCGGGCAAGCCCACTGGAGCGTCTTGCCAGCTCTGGCGTTGAGGCAGGTGTGCTGTTGGCTGAAGGGGGACAGTATTCTGGGAAGGAAAACTGCTCGTGTGAGCAAGAGAGGGAGCGCTGCAGGTCCAGCCGGCCTCCTCCTGCAGGGTGTGGGTCAGGGCTCCAGGCATCGCCCACCTGTCCACAGGGAGCTGAACCTGGTGCTCCTTGGCAGGGCTGTCCCCCAAGGCGCTGGTGCAGGCTGGACTGGTGGCAAGGCGAGGAGAGCCCATTGGCCCGAGCAGGGAGGCTGAAGCTGGAGCTCCGCTGCATGGGGCTGACACCGTTGGAGTAGCGCTGGACGCTGCCCCCACTGTAGCATCGTCTCTTCTCCACAGGAGTCCAGACTTTGGACCCCAAGGGCCGCCATGACGTCCGGCAGCTGGACATCTCATCAGAGAAGGAGAGTGACCGGCACTGGCGTTTGCTGGGGGGAGCGGAGGGGTTTCCGTTGTGGTCACTGATGCTGAGGTCTTTGATTAGGCTGGTCACTGCACAAGCAGTCACCGCCTCCTGGTGCCACAGGGAGCCATCCTGACACTTCTCAGGCAGACACTCCCAGATGCTGGCGCTTGGCTGGTCAATCTGAAGAGGGCATTTTCTGTCCAGGTCTCGCCATCTGTCATTTTCTGGTGCATAAATACAAAGAGAAAACAGGATCTGAGAGGCCTTCCCAACACCCCTGTTCCTCTACCAACAGCCTGTTTGCTATATAGTACTTTGGCACCAGAAAGGTTCTCATAAATCAGCCAGTTCAACCTTACTTTACAGATGAATACTGAGGCCCAACATGCTGAGTTAAAAACAGAACAAGTCCTTGGATCCAGACTCACTCCTGGGCTTTCTGATCCAGCTTTCCTCCCAACATCCCAGGAAGGTAGCTTGTCCTGAGCCCTGCCCTGGTCAGTGGCAGGCAGAGTCAGGGGAGCAGTGTAAGTTAGCATATGGCAGAAAACCATGATCAACACCAAGTCTTGGCCACTTCAGATGGTCAAGGTCAAAACGGGGCTGGGATACTGCTAGTTTAGCTCATCTGAATTCCATCATCAAAAGATCTGCTCATAAAAGACACAGAATCGCCAGGCAGTGGTGGTGCACACCTTTAGTCCCAGCACTCGGGAGGCAGAAGAAAGTGGATCTCTGTGAGTTCAAGGCCAGCCTGGTCTACAAAGTGAGTTCCAGAACAGTCAGGGCTACACAGAGAAACCTTGTCTCAAAAAAAAAAAAAAAAAAAAAAAAAGCCAAATCAAACCAAAACAACAAACAAAAACAAAAAAAGATACAGAATCTTTTATTGATTTGTTTGCCTTCCACCAAAATATCCAATAATATCAGCACTGACACCAGCTGCCAATCACAGCACTTTCTTCATATTCATTTGATTTCTTGCTGAAACTGAGGATATATAAAGTAGTTGAAATGGATAAGAGTATCATTTAAGCCAGGCGGTGGTGGCGCACGCCTTTAATCCCAGCACTCGGGAGGCAGAGCCAGACGGATCTCTGTGAGTTCAAGGCCAGCCTGGTCTACCAAGTGAGTTCCAGGAAAGGCGCAAAGCTACACAGAGAAACCCTGTCTCGAAAAAAAAAAAAAAAGAGTATCATTTAGAGCCAGGTGGTGGTGGTGCATGCCTTTAATCCCAGCACTCAGGAGGTAGAGGCAGGCGAATCTCCATGAGTTTGAGGCCAGCCTGATTTACAGAGTGAGTTCTAGGGACAGCCAGGGTTACACAGAGAAACCCTGTCTCAAAAAACCAAACCAAACCAAACAAACAAAAACTCTATTCAACTTTGTTTGAATGCATGAATCCATGGGCTGGTCCAGCTGTGGAATGCCTCCAGATCTGAACTTGAACAAATTATTGTTTTTCCACTACAGAATTGGGAGCCATGGCTGGGAATTTTAGGAGATGCAAAGATCAGAAGCACACACTGCCAGGAGTTAGCCCTGTCTATCACTGATCATCTGTATATGTACTATCTGGCAAATATGACAGCTTGAGTCAAGTAGTCAGTGGAACTGAAATAAAGCTGGAAATGGCACGCAGTAGGTATTTTCATGTCCCCACACTCACTCACAGCAATTCAAGTCACTCATTGAGCATCCTTTTTGGACCATGACACCCACACAGCACCCTGCATGAAGGACCACCCTGGCCCAGGGCAAGCAACACAGCTATACAACACAGTGAAAACTCAGGCCAGTCTGACTCTGGCCCTGCCTCAAGCAGCTTATGGTGCAGGAAGATGTACAGTTTCAAAAGACCACTCTATCCCTAGGTGATGCCCACTCCAGGTAACAAGAACAGCGAACTGAGCTCTACAGCACCACACTGCTATTTCTTCCAGGCAGGACGCTACTCTGGAGCCTAGGGCCGTGAGCCTGTGGCAAAGCTGCCTCAGCTTCCCAAGTGATGGAGTGAGATATGAACCACCAATGACCACACCTGGCTTACAGAGATCACTGCTCTCAAAAGGTGATACACCCTGGACTGAATGTCACCCAAGGGAAGCCAAACCAAGGCTAGATACAAAGTTTCTTCTTCCCAGACACCCTGCTAAGTCATGAGACAGGTGACCTAAAGGGCTGCAGCCTGGACGAAGGACACAGGACTGCCCAGAGCTATAAGCAGGAGCTAGAGAGGCAAAAGACTTATTGGAAGTTTAGATGGCCGGCCGGGAACCAAGCAGGACTGTGGCTGAACATCCAAAGACCTCAACACAGAACTCCCAACCCTGAGGGAGGCAACTCTGATACCTATTCCTCAAGGTGAATTTGATAAGTTACTTTCAAATATAAACTTTACAAAAAAAAAAAAAAGGGTCTTTGCAAGCTGCTTATACTGTTCAAGTATGTCTTCAGTACCCGTGGAAAACATTTCCTTCCAGTATTCCATTCCTGTGGTGTGTGTATGGGGGGATGTGTGCGTGTGTGGTGTTTTTGTGTGTATGTAGTGTTTATATGGGGGGATATGTGTTTGTGTGTGTGGTGTGTGTTTGTAGTGAGTGTGTATATGGTATGTGTGTGTTTCTGTGTGGTGTATGTGTGGTGTGTGTATGTGGTGTGTGTGCATATGTGTTTGTGTGGTGTATATGTATGTGTGTTTGCATGGTATTTGCATTGCATGCGTGCGTGCATGTAAACCAGAGTGGGACCTCAGGGGTGTGTGTGTGTGTAAACCAGAGTGGGACAACCTCAGGTTAATCCTTTCATCTTGTTTGAGACAGTATCTCTTGCTCACTGATGAGTATGTCAGACTAGATAGTCAGTGATCTTCCAGAGATTCCCCGCCTCTGTCCCCCATCTTCTGCTAGGGGCCACTAGGACCACAGGCATGAGCTCCTCTGTGTCTGGCTTTTCTGCAGGGTTTTGGATCTGAACTCAGGTCATCAGGCTTGCACAGTAAGAGTTTCACCCACGGGGCCATCTCCCCACTCAGTGTTTACCATTCTTTAAACATAGTTTTAATTTGACATTAGTTCAGTGAACCAAAATAATGAATTCCAAACTGAGGAAATATAAACTAAACTGGGCATGGTAATATAAGTCCAGCCTAATCCCAAGAAGTCGAGACAAGAGGATCACATTGAATGCAAGGTTAGTCTGAGCTACAGAACGAGAAGAAATACAAATTAACACAGACTGCGTCGTAGTTGTCTATTACAGAAGGAGAAAAGTAATCCTAAGAAAAAGTGGAAATCAAATCAAAATGATAACAAATGACAGCAAATCGGTAAGTATAATTAAAATGTTCTACAACAGGTGATTGGTTAAACAGACTCTAAGGGAATAACACACAGCATGTAGCAGTGCAGTCTCCAGGACTAACGGTCTGCAGTGTGGGAAATGCCAGCGACATGTGGCTAAAGCAGCCGTGTATAAAGCCCTATGATTCCTACATAGTAAAATACATAGTGTGCTATACACGAAATAAAAAGAAACAGACCATAATACTAATGACTGCTTGTCAGGTGGCTGGTTAACCAACGCTTTCTTAGTTGCATTCTTGTCTGAACATCTCCTATAAGGAACTGTATCAACGAGCATGTGAGAGCTGTGGCTGCTGGGCCCACAGGGCTGTGCTCTGCCTTAGCTCTGGAAAGGAGCCACTTTGGAACCAGGGCCCAAACATCATCTACTGCTGGGTTCTCTCCTCTGGGTTTTCAGGAAGTTGCTGGAACCAACTTCCCTTTGAGGCCACGACACTGAAAACACCACAAGGCTCAGGGGTGTGGCAGGCTGGGGAAGGAACCAGCAGGCCTATCCACAGAAGAGTGAAAGACCAAGATGGCACCACAGCTGGTACTTGGAAGCCCGGGACACAAGACAGAACGTGTCTCAGTCAAATGCAGAGAAAGCCATCAAATAGAAGGGGTCAATCTAATCTACGGAGGGATTTCACTTGCTTTTCATTCTGCTGGACTCCCAGGTCTGAAGTAGAACCCAGGGTGGCTCTCTGGGGTCCTCCACAGAGTGTGGTACACAGTAGACCCGGCAGAGAGTGGGAGGAAATGAAAGAGAAGGAGGTGATGGAGTGAGGCGGCGGGTGTTTACTGGTTACTTCTTGTCACTGTCCTTAACACAAGCAGGTTCAATCTGGCTGTGCCACAAACCCTCCACCCTACTCTGAGCCACGCACTGGCTACCTATGAAACAGGCAGGCAGCTAGGTAGAGTCGAGTGAAAGCTGTTTTGAAAAAGGAAAGCATTGCTAGTGTGTATCACAGCAGCCATGTGGCCACTTGTCCCGTCTGCAGCACAGATTCAACCGTTTCTAGCTTTATCACTTTGAAAGGTACAATACAAAAAAGTAAAAACAATCAATGCTATGTTTAGCTCTGGTGTTTCCACCCTTCACTCGGGGTCCACAAAGCAATTTGTTGGGTCAGGTCAGCGGACAAAAGAACAGGAATAGAGCTGATTTTTAATGGCAGAGTGCCTTATGTGTGAAGTGCCAACGTTGCAGAGCACAAAGGGCCCTGAGAAGAAGATAGCGGGTACCTCCACCCTGCCATTCAATATCACCTCTGCACAAACAACTGGAACGCTTTCCAAAGTGACAAAGGCCGTGAGTGCCGAGGAGCCACTGGCCCTTGGATGGAATCTCAGTGCTGCACATTTCTTCATCTCTCTCAGCTGCTGAGAGAAGAAGACACAGGCCCGGCAAAGCGCCCAGAGCAATCTCTCGGAAGTGGCAGTTGTCAGTGTAATTTTGAAAGGACAGCACCAAAAAATATGCTTGTGTCTGAGATCTGCTCTTCTGTACCTGGTACCAGTGTCTGTAGACTCAGGCTGAACAGGGAACCAGTATTTTTCTGTACTAGCATTTTCTAGGATATGGTTTCAGGATTGCCTGCTGGATGATGAAGGGAGGAGGTGGAACTGGGAGGTGGTGAGTAGAGATGTAGACTCCTGGTCACTACAAATGTGATTCATAAGATTGAAGCTGGTGGGTTTGATCTGCTTCTGCTTTGGGCAATTAGAGGGCAGTAAACCTATAAAAAAGAATCCCTTTGCTTTTCAAGTCCTTAGAAAGTCACAGGCCAGGTGGGAACTCCCAGGGCTTCCACCCCAAATGGCACACAGACTACTTTGCCATCCCTATTGCATCAACCTTTGGAAAGATCTTA